AATATAGAGTCCCGTGCAAAATTTGAGGGTTTTGCCCTGTTGAAGCTCAAAACGCGTATGGTTCTTCAATAAAATCTTGTAGATTTTTCAGCGGTTTTTGAGCGCGCGCTCATCGTGGGCTCAATTCGAACGTTCAAAAGTAGGCAGCCACCTTAAAGTAAAAGAGATTCAAAGCCTAAAACTTTCGGCCTTGGAAACTTTTGTCTAAGAAAATCTTCCAAGAACAAAACTAGCCCCTGAGGGTGGTGGTGAGTTGTATACAAAATTCCTAAGTGGGAGAGTATACTCGCGCAAAAAAACAAAAACAAAAAACAAAAAACAATGTAGTGCATTTCGATTCGATTTCACTGCATGGTTTTTATTATGGGAGAAATTATCTTCATCTCGAATTAAAAAAAATTGAAGATTTTTCCCCCGATCTTATTTTTACCTTTCAGTTTCATTCAAATTGTTCTCCCTGTTACTTCTGTATTGGGAGCTCCGCTTTTAGGCAGTGCCTAAATATACATATTAGTGGATGCACTGATGTTATAAATACACTGCTTATCTTGGTGTCTTTCGTTATGGCGGAAACAAAAAGGTCGCTATGTCTTTTGCCGGCATTTATCCGGCGTTTGGGACTAATTTTCAACATTTAGAATATATGAAATATTTCAGTTGTCTTTCTAATCAATTCGTTTTTGATATTTATTCAGGGCAGCTTGGCTTATTCATTTAACAACTCTGAAAAGAAAAAATATTTGTTTAGAAACGTTATGGGAGACCGAATTCCATAGTTAGCCTAGTACTCTCATTAATCTCAGGGGGGGGGGGAATGGACAGCACTGCAGCAACAACATCGACAACAGCAGTAGCAACAGCAACAACTAACATCGGCAACAGGAGCAACAACAAGAGCAAGAAAAAACACAATATAGCAGTAACGTATGACTAACTATGCTCGCATTAACATTCCGAACATTACCAATCGCACGCACAATGCCACGAATAAGTTATTTACCTGACCTCAAACTGAAACTGCTGACTAACCTTCGAGTTTGCTTACGACATCTTCTCTTCCAGCATCTTGGAGTGCTGCTTTGAGAACTTCTGATGTTGCATTCCTTCCATTTCTTTGCTTCCACTTGATAAGCATTTGAAAAGCTTTTTCTCTAGCTGTTTTAGAATCTCTGTCTATCCGACGTATAATACTCTCTTCAGTAGCAAGGTATCTACCGATAAACTCCCAGTCGTGTACGATATCATTGGTAATGCGTCGGAAATGTGTTTCTGTAGCCTGTTGTCCCCCTTGCGGTGGATTCCTATAGCTATTTTGACGCRGGACATCTAAGATTAAATTTTCAACACTCTCATGAGTAAAGGGTGGGGTACAGTCCCCTTTCATTATCATACCTCTCGGCGTATTCCTGGGTTAAACCTCCCGAAACTTGGGATCAATCTCAAGTACGCTAGGTTCTGGGTTGAAAACATTGATGGCAAGAACCTTTTTTCCTCCTCTCATTTGCTGTCGTTTTTGACTCAAACATCGCCAAAATTGGCATGGGCAATTGTAGTTCAGGCGTTAGGTAAGTTTCATATAGAGAGTAACGTACTAACCTTTGCTCATTTAGGGGATTTTTTTCCTATTTTTGATTGAACAAACAGGTCACGTAACCTATTTTTGCATAATATCCCCTAAACGAGCAATGGTAGTTCAGGTATTAGGGCAGATTCATATACATCTAATGGGGAGAAGTGAAAATATGCCATAAAATTTTAAAGACAGATGATAACCATCACCACATTTTCATTCAGGAATTTTGAGTGCATTCTTGAAGTGAGAATCAAGGTCACGTGACCGCCTTAACTCAAACATTTTCATTCTAGAATCTTAAGCCCATAAAGTCATATGGCTATACCAATTTTGGTAAGAATTGAGTAAAACACGACAACTTACATAAGAAAAATAATAAAATATCTCTAGATGTTAAATGGCCTTCAACCCAGGCCTTAACATACTTAGACTAACTTGAGTAATAGTCATCATTTCCAGAAGGAAATTTCTTACTTGTTCTTTCTCCTATTTGATTTTAGTGTTTGGGTGGGGTTCTTCGATTCTTCTTCCCTTCGATACCCAAAATGCTAAATTCCTGAATTCAACTTTTGTCAGCCCAATAGGGAATTTCTGAGGTAGACGAACTACATGGGTGCAATGTGGTCTACCTTTGGTACAAACAACGCCATGTAAAGCATGATAAGCARCAGATGTTTGTTTGTACCGAAGCTAGACCACAATGCACCATGTTTGCTATTTCAGAAAAGGCCCATAAACAATTCGAATACAGTCAAAATAAGCAACACTGAAAAGAACTGAGTGGATTTCGTACGAGTGGGAAACGCCAAATTCGCCAAATGCAAATTCGTAGCCTTGCCGGAATATCATCAAACTAACTTCAGTGTTAATATATACCGTATCGCGTACGTGCTGTAAGTCAGCGAAACAGTACGTACGTTTCCCACTCAATCGAAAACCGCTGTAAGACCGCTGTCAATGTATACCTGCAATTCCGTCGATAAGCTGAATTTTCTTAGCATCCTTTAACGCGTCTGTGAGGAGTTTAAGAGTRGGTTTTTYAGTACACTCWGTCCATTTAATRAGCATCTGATATGCTCGTTCTTTTACTTCTTCATAGTTAGTTCGTATTCCCTCTAAATCAGTAGAAGTAATGCCAAGGTTACTTCCAAGTTCTGTCCAATCATCGTCAGCGGTCAGATTTGTCGCGATGTAAAGGAGTAATCTTCTGTATTTCTTATCTTTGTGTATGACGTCATCTGGTTCTGTAAAAAAATCAGACCATTAAAACTCGTAGACCAATCACAGCGCACGTTCTTTTTCGGCTATTTAAGAAAGCTTAGGAGGCTTTGGTCAAAAGAAGATGAGTACTAAAGGCCCCGTTACACAGTGCAATTTTGTCAGCAACTTGWCTCGTAATGCTTGAAAATGATGTAGGTTACAATACAAAACAGCATAATCAACTTTACTAAAGAGGATGACGTACTAACCCAGGAGCTATCTCACGGTTGCCGGTTGCCGAGGTGAGGTGTTACACTGCAACGCGATCTCAGCAACTTTCAACGATTTTTGGCCGCGGTAGACTGGGATGACTTGTAAAAATATTTGCGCAAGCGCTCTTGAAAAACATGGCTCAAAATTGTGAGAAAAGGTGCTGGAGAGGTGCATGTGCTACACTGTAAAACTGCAATCCGTTRCGAAAATATATTCCAAACGACGAGACCAACACGGGATTTAATTTCTCCCAATTAGCCGCCTATGTAAACCCATAATTGCAATAAGTTATAAATATTGGCGGCTCTTTCCCGATCAAATTTATAGGAGAATCGCGATACTTTACCCAGTGCGGATATGTGCTGTAAACTAGTTAGTATCAATAAGTATGTGTAATGGTTAGGGAGCATTCACGTTTTAGGAGGGGTGTGGGAAGGGGAGAG